GAAGTGCATTTCACCAATGCAGCTGGATATTACTCAGACATCGATCATGAGTTAGGGATAATTACCAGGCGGTTAGACTGAGCAGAACAAAACACGTGTTGGTGAAATACACTCATTTGCAAACAAATTTCATTTGGAACGCAGCTAAATCTCTCGCTTGTGCTGTTTCCAGGCAACCGAATGTCTGCACCAGGTCGCTTCATGTTTCAGTTGGTACGATCTTCGGGATATCGCGATACATATATATTCGTAATGATTAGAGCTCTTTGGAGTTGCTAATCACTTCCCTTTCAGAGTACATGCAGTTGGAAAGCGCCGCTACCTCTTTGCAAAGGCACTTCGAACATCAAAGTTTCGCAGTAATACTTCTCAAAAATAATGACCCGATAACTTTTTACAATAGTTCGAGGAACTAGTTTACGAAAAGCCCCGAACAGGCGTGCCTACGACGAAGTTCGATTAAATCAGTGGCTCAGCAAAGTAAAGTTCAGCCTCGTGTCGTTAAAGTCAGCAACTCAAACAGAAAAGTTCAACTAGGCGTCGAGACTGAATCGGACACTAGAGCGATCGATCAAAGCGCACGATGGACGCACCTTACTACGCTTGGAAAATTCACAGAAAACTTCATTGAAACGGTGAAGTGAGTTAAACAACGAGATATATGTTCAAACCCCCTTGAGAGCGTTCAACCCATTCCATGTGCATAACGATGGTGAGCGACTTATGGATTTGTGACGAACAATGTAATCACTCACGTGCAGACATAAATCTCAAATGGGGTATGGTTACATATGTACGCACTACTCCACTGTTTCTTGAAACCCTCAGCTCACTAACAATTTTCTCTGAGAAATACATGATGCTTTTCAATCCATTCGGATTTCCGGAATAGTGTTGATTGACATCGTTGTCGCCTGATGGTCAGTTTACAATACGTTTCTTCGTTCAGAAGTACAGCTATGTGATCGGTGATCCTTAACTGTTGCTGGAACGCGCGTATATAGAAATGCCACATCACATCGCTCATGTAAATACCGCAGGTTTACCGAACCAGTTCACACTTTCAGACGGATATTCGCGTTTTCCAACCAGTTAAACTCCAAGCAACGCTGCTGAGATTTTCGAAGGTATAAGTCAGTGAACACAAGGCCGTTGCGGAGGAATTAATGATTGAGTCTCTGAATAATCAAGCAGAGACATACATATACGTAATGCACTGGAAACATGGCGAACGAAAAATGCAGCTGGGTTCCAGGTCAGTCTCTCGCAAAACCAAATGTGTTCGCAAATGAGTGCATTTCGCTAAGCAAACCTTTTCCTTTTCAAGACTTTTGATTATTTACCATCTGAACTATGTTATAATCGCAGTGAGGAGTTAACATCATATAACTACACCCCTCCCAAAAACAGGTCCTTACTCATTATTGCATGCACTATTTCCAATACTTTCCCACTCTTTACAAAGATTATGGCCACTGTCGTGGAAAAAGTTGTTTGCTTTTGTCCACATCGCACTGATCATAAAATGAGTCAGCTAAATGAGTTTTAGTCATACCTTCCAGTAACTCACTGAGTCAAGAATGTCTCAGCCGCTTCGCCGCATCAGAGGGGCGCGCATGCTATCAGGGGATCTCTGAATCCAGCCGTTGATGGCCGGGAAATCCACACATCCTATTTCACGTCTTAAGTCCTCCTTCCTGTCCGGAAGAGGTGTACTAAAATTGTGATGCTTGCGGCTACGATATGGAGTAATAATATATCCAGTTAGGCGACTTTTCAGCTAAAAACGGTATACCGAAGTGCAGCATTTCTAGATGCTACAGATTCGTTCACCGAAGATAACGAGAATAAGGTGCTAGGGGCCACGTGCTGGAGGCGATGGCCCAATCAGTTCATTGAGATCTAATGGTTCTGTTTGTCCAGTATGGCAGGGAACAAGAGCTAGACAGTGAAGGTGACATAGCTTTGATTGAAGATCACCATTGGTTGTATGACAGCCATACCTCAGGGTAACTAAGCACTGCTTTGCCACCTCCTGGAGTCCCCATTCACAAAACCGGCAGTTATCAACGCGACTAAGTTGACTAATAAGGGATTTCATGCTTCGCCCCACGCACTCCAACCATTTCAGAATCCTACCGAGCCCCCAGAAACACGTTTCGGTTCTCCTTGGTTTGCACATTACGGTTGGATTTGCAACACCCCTTAATGACGAACCTCTTGCTCTCATTTGACTTGGCAGCGAAGTATAAAAGCCATTGCCAGCGAACTCAGCTGCGCTGGTCATTGCCGTCTTCCTGGATGGGGACCCCGAGACGGGCCATATCAATGCTTAGAGACATTGTCAGACATGGCCCAGTCGCACCCTCAATGGCACCCACGTATCCAAGCTATTGCCTTCAATGCATAACTCCCTTCCCAGTCCCCACACTTAACAGTCCACCTACAGTGCTGTATTTACGCACTAATTTATCAGCTCCCGCCTCCAATGCGCAGCTACTTACCCACCTCCCCAAATCATCGATGAACGAAACTGTGGCAGCTACAACCACTGTACGACCAGTACGCGGTTATTACAGCTGACAGTGA